GTCACGCACATCCTCCAGGTTATTACCTACTACGTCAGGCAACCATCTGTAAATTACTGCACTTTGGGTCGATACATACAAATATTTTAATTTAGATTTTGAAATTTCTCTCGCCTGCCAGGGTTATTAAATTTTCGAACTAAATCGCAGAAATGTGGAAAAATAAAATATTATGAAACTAAGGTCGCAAAACACAAAATACAAATGTGAGATAGTAATCTATTTCCTGAAAACATGCTTTCACCGTCGTTCACTTCACAGGGTATATAACGTAACATATTTGGGGTCTCGGGTTCGATTCCCGGCGGTGCCCGAATTTATAACTTGTGTTGGGCAAGGCCGTGGTCTAGGCAACACGGAGTTTTCCTCCGTGGCATCCCAACAATTACTCCATTCACACACAGAAGAAGGCAATGGCAAACCACTTCTGGATCATCTGCCAAGAACGTATATGAACAGGTCCCAGTCCGAGAAAAGGATGGAAGGATCCTGTTCATATGGACCTGTCGTCAGACAGAACACTACAAATAAATAAAAAAAAACGAAGCACGAGGATATCTATATTACAGACGATAGTTTAAATTAATTTAATGTCCTTAATGTATTTAATAGACAAGAGGAATCATAAAAATTCACAATTTACATTAAAAGATCTATAGTCTTCCAGTACGCTTATCACTTCACCCCTACTCCATATTCACTCATGTATCATCTGGGGGGTCGGAAAATGAGTCTGTTTCACTGTTACAGTCTTACTTTAACACAACAATAACGGTAGTTACATTGGCCCTGTTTTAAAAACTTTTAAGATATTAGAAAACCTATAGTAAATTGTCGGATCACTATGAGACCACACGGCCGATATGCTAATAAAATTGTATATATATATACATATATATATATATAGACTATATGTAGATATACAGTCACGGGATGAAACGATGTTTTACAAAAAGTTTTACTAAAATATGGATTTAAATAAAAAGTTCTTTGGATAATTTTCATCGTCTAGTAAAATAATAAAACAGAAAACGACGTTTCGGAGATGGGGCTCTATCTCCGTCTTCAGGTATCTACTCTGTTGGGCCCTTTGTGTTCTTGACTAATTGATTGTACCATTAGTTTCTTAAGAAAGACTTTGTTCCATGGAATCAGTCGTTTTTCTAGATAAATTATGGATGTTTAACATTCTAATGCACCATATCACTCCAACGTTGGATGCCTGAGCTTCAGTAAAGTCCTCGAGGCATTGTGGGACTTACAGAAAACAATAGGCTAATAATATTCTTGGACAAGAAAGAAAGAAATTAAATGTTCCCACATTTAATGGATAAAAATTGTAAAACTGACCTGGTATTCCTTGTTGACACAATAAACATCTAACCAGCTTAACCCTTAGCAGTCTCTGTCGGACCGAGTCCGACATTTAAATTTCCGAGTTCCGGTCCGATGTCGGACTGAGTCCGCCAAGTATTTTACGCATTTTTTACGTGATCTGGAGTCAAACTGAAGCTGGCATCTCATTCAAGCCTTCATCTTTGCACTAGTTCTATCCTAGTTTTCCTGGTAAGACTCTGTGACCCTTATAATAGTTAAAGGAGGCAGGAGAGACAACTCGTTTTATTCTAACACCTGTCGAAGGAAGCCAGGACTCCACACCAAGTGTTTTGCCATACATCATATAGAGACGTAATATCATCGTGTGTGTAGCTGTCATATTTACTTAGAATAGAAGTATTTTATATCTGATAAAATTATAAAACAAATATCACATCTTCCTAATAGGAAATTATATTTTTTAAATTATTTTTGGCGCATAGAGCAATCTACCACTGACATGTGCATATTCTTTCGTCTCTTATCAAGCATTCTTCCGCTTTATGTAAGTTAAAAAGAAAATCAAAACAGTTAATAATAGTAGTTCAATGTAAACAGCTTAGTGGTATTTAAATAGACCAGCAGAGAGCAGTAGTGGTATTTAAAATGGACCGCAAAGGGTTAAATGTAATTCTTCAGGGAAAATACCTCTTTTTACATGAGTTGTATTCAAACGCACAAGCTTTCAAAACAAAACTGTTTTTCTTATTGGAACAAATAATGAAAGATAAGTGTATACATTTTCCTCCTTGTGAATTACAGCTTAACCTATAATTGCAGCCGAGGTATTTACAAAATGTAATCCTGTCGTCGATTTCAAGACCTCATGAAAGTAGAAAATAAAATTGAAGTGCTGATTTGTCCGTTTTCAATTGATGCTGGGACTGAGTGACCTGCAATGTGAAGGACGACGGGGAGAGAAATTCAATGCTGTGAAGTAAACCTGTCTTTCTGAGCTGTTACAAAAGTCCAAATACATAAACCTTAAAATTTTCGGATGGAAGATTTTTCCTTTCTTTTTAAGTTTCTGCGGCTACTTAACAACTGTAAAAAGACTTCTCACGAATTAAGCGAAACAAATTTTAGTTAAGAATGAAGATAATAGATAAACAGTTTTGTGCATTCTAATATCAACATTTACGCCAAATAACCTAACGAAAAACTTGTCAAAAATCTGTAAGCAATTCCACCTGTCGCATTAATTTTCTGAACCCTGATACTATTACAAGTAACTTACATTTTTCTGCATATTTATATCACATGCCTATTTCAAAAGACATGTTCATGCTAGCAAAATGAGACATTTTTCCGTCTAGTAATCACATGTAAGGTCTTATTCTACCCTTCAAGCACACACCTGAACTAACCCTAAAGCAGAACAAAGTACGAACCCAACAAAATTACAATCTATTTCACTGAAATCCATTTTAATATTATCGTCGCATCTCCTAAGTCTTTCAAGCTACAACTTTCAAACAGGTTATCTCAACAAAATTCTTTAAACGCTGGTTAAATAGACCAGCAGAGAGCAGTAGTGGTACCCAGCGGTGCCCGAATTTATAACTTGTGTTGGGCAAGGCCGTGGTCTAGGCAACACGGAGTTTTCCTCCGTGGCATCCCAACAATTACTCCATTCACACACAGAATAAGGCAATGGCAAACCACTTCTGGATCATCTGCCAAGAACGTATATGAACAGGTCCCAGTCCGAGAAAGGGATGGAAGGATCCTGTTCATATGGACCTGTCGTCAGACAGAACACTACAAATAAATAAAATAAATATCTCTCAAAACGAGCGGGGTATGAAACCTGAATTATCTTACCCTCCTAGTTTACAGTACCTATTCTGTGACCTGTAGGGGCCCATAAATAACAATAAATTTCAATACCAAATTTATTCTAAATCCGTTAATTTATATGAAACACGAGAAACATGCTAACGGACAAGAGTTTCCTCCACTTTTGAATTTACTTCAAACTTAAAACAAACTGCAAATACGCATTTTGGACACTTGCAGTGTGTATTCCAGCTGAATATCTCACTAATTAAACTTATTAAAGTGTTGAACTGAGGCCCAAGATTTCCAGCGTCCTCCTAACAGCAATCACCATTAAACGCAAGTCCATTCTGTGGCAAGATACTCTAGTCTGTGGAGGGGATGCACACACATTTAACATAACAACCCCCCATTAAAAAGAAGTGGGTTGGGTTTAAAGTTCTCCCAACCCCTCACGTCATGAAGGAGGAACCAGAGTCGCTGTGCTCCTAACTACCCTTGCCGGGAGAGACCATTATCGATTCCTAGTAGTTCCATTTCCTCCCAGATTGGTGGCTTTTTTGATAGGATCCTTTGAGTCTCGTCCAATCAGTTGTCAGTGGTACCTTCCGACGAAACACCTATATCTCACGCCATTCTCACCCTTAACGTCTTGTCGGCATCGTATTCTCGTAAAGCTCATTTTCGCATGTAATAACAGACGTTTTAGGTTCCCACCGACTCGTTATCTCGTCCAACCAATCCTTGAATGGCGGAGAAGGTTTTGTGGTATTCTTGTCAATATAGTTTTAAGCATGGTTGACACTTCTATTTTCTGTGTAATTATCTTGTTTACTGGCGGGTAGAGAGAGGAAAAGAAAGAGAGAGATGAAGTGATGGAAGGTAAGAAAAGCGGGGATGTTGTGTAGTGCAGAGTTTGGTAAAAGTTAAGGGTGAGACAGTTAAATTACAGTAGCGGTGGTTTGCTCGTGAGTCGGGGACTGGCCGGCCGTTGGTCTTTGGCTGGACAGGGGGATGTTTCTGGAGCGATGTTAGTCGTTGGCTCTGTCGTGGACTACGTGGACGTTACGTAGCGGCGTGTGCCGGAGTACACACACATAACTGGACAGACAGACAGACAGATAAATCCACCCATGCCTCGTTTTCTCATGCTGTTGACAGTGAAATTTTTCAGTGAGCAGATAAGAAAGTTAACGAGAAAAAAGCTTTAATACTTCTGGTAAGTGACGTCGCGTCTAACTTAAAAACTTTAAACTGAAATTCCGAAACAAATGGCTGTTAGAAAATGTGTCATCAGTTTATCAAAATAAGTTGTTTTTAAAGCAAGATAAAAAATGTTTTCACTATATGAAAACAGTGCGTATGTTGTGGTTTAGTGTAATATCAATTTAATATAAAGTGACTTCTCGCGAAATACTAAAACCAATTCAATATTATCAAATCGATTTAGTTTATAGCATGCATTATCAGAGTTCTTGTAATACCATAAACATACACTCTGGACGTTACATAAGAAATGACATTAAAATTACCAGAAAGTCGAAAGGGTATGTAAACAACAAAACATTTGTGATTCTTGATAATAAAGGAAAGAAAACAGTATCGAATAGCCACTCTTGGAAAATAAACCATTTTGGAACATTCTATACTTTAAGGTTGATGAACCCACTCTGTAAAATCGGATACTATTAAATTATATGAGAATAAAAAATAAACGAATATTATTGCGAGGAAATCATAAAATAACGAACATCACCAATAAAACAAATCTAAAAATGAGTGAGCAGCGAGAAATCGAAGTTTCAGTTGTCAGTACCCCAGAAACAAGTCAGTGTTCATCAACGATGGGATCACCAGGACCGTCACCACATCACCATATCACCACCTCGACGGCAAACACCACAGGACCAATATCATTCCACCCCATCAGTCGGACAGCAGTATCGCCCCCAGGAAGCCCCAACAGGAAATCCCCTGCGGGCCCTAGGGCCGGGTCACCGATTTCCAACGCACAAGCGAAGGCATCTTCGCCCCTGTACACGTCGTTTTCAATATCCAGCATATTAAGCAGGACTGAGCCGTCGAAGAAACTGAATGCTTCTGT